GATGGTACAGCTCGACCTCCCTGTTCTTTTCAGGAGGGACAACAGCACACAGACACAATTCATCGTCGAGTCCATGGAGACTATGGAGAAATATGGGCAGTGAGGAGGGAAGGCGAAAACCCAGGAAATCTGGGGAACATTTGGGGGTCCTGGGAGTTGTGTCAATTTGTTTGTGTGTCCCTGGGCCCTCTAATTGTCCTTGTGCGGGCATGCCTCCGTGCTCGCAGCGCGTCGGCCCTGCGTTGTGCTCGCCCCGTGCTATCCGACGGCGACGACGACGACGACGTCGACGACGACGACGACGACGACGACGACGGCGACGGCGACGATGGCGACGACGATGACGACGAGCACGACGACGACGGCGGCGACGACGAGGACGGTGACGACGACGACGAAGGCGACGACGACGACGGCGGGGACGGCTGCGGCGACGATGGCCACGACGACCACGACGGCGGCAACGACGACGACGACGATCACGACGACGGCCTACTCTGGGCCATGTACCGCCGACTGGGGAGCAGGGGCGCGCGACGCTTGCCGCTGCACCTCGCCGCCTGCCGCTGCCGCGCCTCCTACAGCGCTCGCTTGGCGGGCCGAGCAGGGGTTTTCCGAGGGGCGCTCGACCTTCAGCACCCTGGCCGCCGCCAGCGCATCCTGCCGCCGACCACAGACCCTTGTCGCCCTCTCCGTGCTTGTCGGTTTCTTTGCGTCCTGCTCGCGGCGTGCTCCGCGCGCGCCCTTTCAGCAGCATTTTGCTGCCGAGATCGGTTACCGGACCATCTATATGCTTGGCCAGGCGGGCGGGGGAAGACTCAAAAGCAGGGCAGGCGTGCGCCGCCTCGACGCAGCGGCGACCTTGCCGCGGGCGCTCAGGACTGAAGGTCCTCCCGGGGTCCGTCTGGGGTCCCAGGACCGGGAGGGAGCAGCCCACAGCGTGAAATCCGTGCGGAAGGTCGAGTTGATGGCCCATGGGAGCCCATGGCAGCGGAGGTCATTCAAGGTTTCACGGTCGCGCGGTGTCAGAGATTAGATCACGGCTTTTGTCGTCAAGGCTGGAACCTTCCGTAGAAGACATGATCATTCTCTAACTATCGTGTCTTCCATCTTGCCGTCTCGGTGCTGATGGTGATTGTCCGTTCGGGTCGCTCGATTCGCGCTGGCAAAGGAATGGCCGAGGTGGAAGCCATGGGTTGTGTGCAGCGAGGCGAGGCAGTGCTACTTGCAGGCTGTATGCACACGACGTGGCCAGGCTCGGCGCGAGCTGGATGCCCGGCCCCATAGTTTTCCAGCCCTCGGCCCTCGTGCGGCCCGATACCTAGCCCTCGGCATGCTTATCCAGCAAGTGGCCCCCGCATGTTCCGCACGTGCGTCCAGCTGTGCGTGCATGTGTAGTGCGGCCTCGGCCTCGGGGCCGCCGCGTCGCTGCGCGTGCTGCCGCGACGGCAGAGCCTTATACATATGACGGGGGACCGGTTCCGGGGGCGGGGGGCCGGGACCACGACCACAAATGTGGGGCCCGGCGCGCCAGGAGCCCGGCTGGAGCGCCGGGGGCTGTCCAAGATCGCCCGAAGATGGCCTCGGAACGCTCGAAAACGCGCTCCGATGGCTCCGGATGCCTTTCAAGACGACTCCCATGACGCCAAGAAGGCCCCGAAGACTCCCCAAGAGGCACCCCGAGAGAGTCCCAATAGGCAAAAATCGTCGATTTCCTATTGGTAAACTGATATTTTTGGCGTGTTCGCCTTTGGGGCTTCCGCTGCGTCCAAGACGGCCCAAGAGATCTGCTTCTTGACCGTTGCTCGCATCGTGCGGGACGTCAACGTGTGTTTTCTTTGCAAGGCAAGGTGTCTGCGTATAAGTTTGTGTGATCGTCTTGCGAACAACCCAGCTGCACACACTTCGACTCCAGTTTGCCGACCTTGGAACGCCCGTGTGGATTCTTCCCCCGGCCGCGTGCGGCGTGCGAGCCACAGTTTGCGTGTGCGTCACTGTGTGTTCTGGTTCCATTTTTTTTTCGTATTTTTTCGCTTAGGGTTGGTGGTCTCCCGCGGGTGTGAGGAATACCCTTCGTGCAGACTCCAGCGCTCAAGGCGCAGTGCTCTGTTCGTCGCGAGTCTCTGGCCAATGCCACAGCAGTCGAGCAATGATTTCCGCCTTTGCCAGAGCTCAGAGAGGCCAGCAGGCGGATCCTCAAAAATCCGAGCTGGCCCAATCAAGGCGTATCGTTGCCAGCAAGTTCCTCTGGAAGTCCCCTTACATGTACTATCTTGAGGGCGACACCAGAGCAGTCGAGCAATCACTCCTGCTACCGCCTGACTGCAGAGAGGCCACCTGACCGACCTTTCGACGCCTGGTCCACAGCGGACACTGAGTGAGATATCTCGCTTCAACAGTTTCGCTATAGGTCTCCTGACATGTGCTGGTCTGGGGACGGGGACGGCGTCTTGATAGACTCGGGCCGTCTGCAGCGCGTAAGAACATGAAGCAATACGCTAACATGTGGAGCAGGAGAAATGAGGCGGGATATCGGGAGTGAAACCATGATAATCAGGGGAATGGTAGTTGCAGGGACATGATGGTGTTGGGATGATCTGGTGGTGATGGTGGTGAGGATGGTGATGGTGATGGTTGTGATGATGGTGACGATGCTGCGGATGATGATGATGATGATGATGATGATGATGATGATGATGATGATGATGATGATGTTGATGATGATGATGATGGTGATGATGATGATGCTGATGATGATGATGATGATGCTGATGATGATGATGCTGGTGATGATGCTGATGATTATGATGATGAGGATGATGATAGTGCTGGTGGTGATGATGGTGATGGTGGTGATGGTGATGATGCTGCTGGTGATGATGATGCCGTTGACGATGATACTGCTGATGATGCTGCTGTCGCCGACGACGACGATGATGATGATGGTGGTAATGACGATGAGTATGCTGCTGATGGTGGTGATGATGGTGGTGATGATGGTGGTGATGATGATGATGATGCTGATGATGTTGTTGCTGATTATGCTGATGGTGATGAGTATGACTATGGTGATGCTGATGATGCTGATGATGCTGATGATGATGATGATGATGATGATGGTAGTGGTCATGATGATTCTGCTGATGATTATGATGATGCGGAGGAGGATGAGGATGCTGATGCGTATGATGATGATGATGATGATGATGATGATGATGATGATGATGATGATGATGATGATGATGATGATGATGATGATGGTGATGGTGATGGTGATGGTGATGGTGATGGTGCTGATGCTGATGATGCTGATGATGATGGTTGTCCTGATGCTGCTGGTGCTGCCGATGATGGTGATGATGATGACGGCGACGATCATGATACAAACAGTGAGGAGGAGGATAAGGAGCAAGAGGAGGAGAAGAAGGAGGCGGACGACGCGGAGGAGGAGGAGGAGGAGGACCAGGAGGAGGGGGAGTAGCAGGAGGAGGACGGGGGGGGGGGAAGAGGAGGGTGAGGCCCCCGCTCCTCAGGCAGCCCGCCAGCATGGGCCGCCTCCGGAATGGCGCGCCGCCGCACCATCCGCGTCCGCGCGTGCGGGCGGGTGCCTTGGCTGTCGGCCTCTCGGGCCACCAAAGACTGTCCGCAGGGCAGATGCCCTCACAGCCCACCCGACGCGAGCAAGGCACGGGCAGGTCGGGAGCAAGGCAAAGCCATGGCAATAGGCCTGGTGACGCTGCGCACGGCCAGCCCCCAGAGGCAGTTCCTGCTGGCCTCGGCAGGCCCCGAGAACAACCTAGGGCGAGCACCAAATCGGGCGCGTCCCTCCAGGGGGAACATTCAAAAATAGCCTCAAAAACAGTAGGGGGGCGACTTTGTCGAATAGTTGTTCCACCACGTTTGAGCAGTTCCTGGATGCTTCTAATTTGTCCTCCAGAATCCGCCTGTGGGGGGACATGCCCGACCTAGGGCGAGCAGCATCTTTCTGCTCTCGCTCGAGACCCGGCCCAAAACACGCGCGTCCTTCTGCGGCGCCTCGGGCAGCACCCCGCGCCCCGGGGTCGGGGTGCCGCGGCCGCCCCCGGCTGCCCTGGCCTGATGGATTGGCTCCCCGGGCTGCCCTGCGTCTGTGCGCTCTCTCAAGCCCTGCCAGATCTCTCCGGCGGCTGCTGGAAGTGCTCGGGTCGGGGCTCAGGAGACTCCTCCTCCTCCTCCTCCTCCTCCTCCTCCTCCTCCTCCTCCTCCTCCTCCTCCTCCTCCGGGGTCAATGCAAACGGGGGTCAGCCAGGGCACCAGATCCCGCAGGATCCCGCGAAGGCCCCCTCTTGGCGGACCCGGGTCAGCGAGCCGCTCGTGGCCGCGAGGCGGCCGCGCATCTTGGCTGACCCGGGTTTGCGAAGCCCTGCGTTGCAGTTCTTTTTTCAGGAGGGGAAAAAACACACAGACACAATTGCTCGTCGACTCCCAGGAAAATATGGGAAAATATGGGAAGTGGGGGGGAAGACAAAAACCCAGAAAATATGGAAAATATGGTGAATCCTGTTATTTGTATGTATTTATTTGTGTGTCCCAGGGCCCCTTCACTTTTGTCCTGCATTGCAATTTGTGGTTTCCTGCTGGCCCTGGTCTGGATTGACCCGGGTCAGCAGGCCCCCGAGCGGGCCAGGGCTCCTCTCCAGTACCTCGGAGCTGGATCGGGGCAGCGCGAGACTCGAGCTCGCCGAAACTCGGGGTTCGCCGACGCTTTTGGATGGGCCCGTGCTGACTTTTGACGGTCCAGTTCTCGCGGGATGCTCGCGGCGGGAGCTCGCGTAGAATTTCAGAGTCCCCCGAGCCCGAGTCTACTTACGTCTCCCCGACCTGCGAAGGGACTCGTCGCAGAGCGGCCGTAATTGCGGTGGAGCCCCATGCCAAGAAGCACCCTGCTTGCCTCCAGGGTGCCCCGTGTTCCTTGGTTTTCGATGGCTTTGCTGTGGAAAGCGTGACGTGCCCACACCAACAATCATAGGGAAACGAACAATGACATAAACAAAAACTCTGAGGTCCGCGCGGATTTCTCGGATCTGAGCTGGACCCCTCCCCTCTGGCGCGCTCCGCACGCTATGGGAGGGGTCCAGCGCCGATCCGAGCAATCCGCGCGGACCTCCGAGTTTTGTGTTTATGTCATTGTCTGTTCTCCAAAAAAAAGTGGACGCCCTGGGGCCTCAGGGTTGGCTTTCTCGTGAAAGGCTTCCTGTGGTCGGGCCCCTACTGTACCCTGAAGCCGGGCCTGTCCCTCTACAGGAGAAGTGTTCACAAACAGTCAGAACATAGTCTGGGGACGATTTCCCGACGATGTTTTGGCACTGTTTGATATGTTTGGATATGTGTTTTGAGTGCTCCTACTCTTCTGTCCAAAACCCCCCCTGTAAGGGGGGACAATGCCCAACCTGACCGTGCCGATGCCCCGAGGGGCCCTCCGCGGCCCACCGCTCGGCGGCTCGGGGGCCGCGTCGACCCTCGCGGGGGGGCACGGGGAAGAGAGAGAGAGAGAGGGATCGGGGGGCGGAGGGGGGCGCCGGCCGTCCACCCACGTCGCGTCTGGCCACGGCAGTCCGAGAGCGGGCCTGTCCCTCTCCAGGAGGGATACTTGGAGATAGTCAAGCACAGCCTGGGGACTAGTTGTTTTGTTACTCCAGGGCATATGTGAGCAATTGTTCGTGCATGTGTGATTTGTCGTCCAAAGCCCGCCTGTAGGGGGACATGCCGAGCCTAAGCCCAGGGTCTGTGTACAATCGGCGTCACCCCAAGATACTAATACGATGCATGCGTCGCCCCCCCCCCCCCCCCAGGCGCGACGCGCGCACCGAAAAAGCTTGTAGTATATATGCGTCCTGGCGGGCGCGTTCTGGCCACACCGCTCGGGAAGCGATGTACTACAGGATGAGTATACTGTATGTTCGGGTCGGACGCGCGCCTCCCAGGAGGACATGTAGGACCAGTATGTCTCTGCGAGCCGGAGAAAGGCCGCCCTTCTTGATTTAGCCTCGAAAGCGTCTGGGGGTCTGAGGTTACCACGCACTGGGTCTGGCCAGCAGGACGGGCTGGCAGGTTTCGGGACATGTTTTTTGTTGCGCCCCCTTCTTTTTCGGCCTCTGGGGGCCGTTTTCAGGGCCCGACCTTGAATTCTAGATCTGGTGTAAAAACTGCACCAGTTGGACCCCTGGAAGGCTCCGAGGGCCGATTTCGAGCAGATTTGGCCCCACCCTCCCTTCCGACCTCCTGGGGCCCTGACCAGATCAGACCCATTGGCCGCCTCAAGCGTCCTTTTCTAGCCCCGGCTGCGCAAGAGGTTAGGAGGAGCGTCCGAGGGAGCCCTCGAGGAATGGCCAACGGCGTTCTACCTGTTCGGCAAAGTGGTGTTCTGCTTTTTCGAAGCCGAAGTGGTGTTCTACTGTCCACCTCTTTCGAAGCTATGGTGTCGGAGAAACACAAGACTCGAGTAAGCCAGAACTCGGGTTCGCCGACGCTTTTTGACGAGCGCGTCCTGGATTTCGACGGCCCCTTTTTCGTGGGATGTTTGCAGCGGGAGCTCGCATCAAATTTCAGATTGGGCCTCGTCATGTTCACTGATGGCCCCGTCAGGCCAACCCGAGCCCCCCGGACCCGAGTCTTACGTCTCCCCGAAGGTGGTGTTCTGCTGCTTCGGCGGCGGGTTGAAATGTGTCGCCCTGTTACGGATGCGCGCCCGCGGGCGGGCTGAAATGTGTCGCCCAGGTGCGGTTGCGGTTGCGCGCCCGCGGGCGGCTTGAAATGTGTCGCCCAGTTGCGGTGGCGGTTGCGCGCCCGCGGACGGGTCGAAATGTGTCGCCCAGTTGCGGTTGCGCGCCCGCGGGTGGTTGGAAATGTGTTGTTCACGGTGCGCTCCTGACGTTCAGTCAGTCAATCAGTCAGTCAATCAGTTAGTCAGACACCGGCGGTCACGGAATTTCACCCGGCTCCGCCGGGAAATAACGAATGTGCGCGGCGCTAAGGCGAGAGCCCTTTTTGGAAAAGGAATCGCCCTCCTCAATCCGTGAAGCTCTTGCAAATGTTTAAGACGAATGTGCGCGGCGCTAAGGCGAGAGCCACACTTTGAAAACGGCCCGTCCTCCAACTGTGAAGCTGTTGCCAATGTTCAAGCTACAGAGTCATAATTGTGAGGAAGTCTCAGGCGAAGCGCCCAGACCGCCCTGAAAACGGACATCGGGGTGCGACAGGGAAAAGTTCTTTATCAGGAAAAGGAATGGAGGAGGAAGGAGGAGGAGGAGGAGGAAGAGGAGGAGGAAGAGGAGGAGGAGTCGATGAGGAGGAGGACGAGGACGAGGAGGAGGAGGAGGAGGAGTCCACGGCCGCCAGAGTCCGGGAAGCTCTTCGGCCTGACGTTCCTGTCCGTCTCGGGGCGGGCGTCAGGAGATCGCGCCGCACGGGGCGCAGGGTGCCCGCGTCGAGGCCGCGAGGTCTCAGCGGAGTCGATGAGGAGGAAGAGGAGGAGGAGGAGGAGGAGGAGGAGGAGGAGGGAGGAGGAGTCGATGAGGAGGAAGAGGAGGAGGAGGGATGGGAGCACAAGGAAGGAGGAGGAGGAGGAGGAGGAGGAGGAGGAGGAGGAGGAGGACGGAGGGACGGAGGGAGCGGAGGGAGGGAGGGAGGAGGCGGAGGGGGATCAGGGAGGAGGAGGAGGAGGAGGAGGAGGACGACGACGAGGAGGAGGAGGACGAGGAGAAGGATGAGGATGGTCATGATGATGATGATGATGATGATGATGATGAGGATGATGATGATGAGGAGGAGGAGGAGGAGGAGGAGGAGGAGGAGGAAAAGTCGATGAGGAGGACGAGGAGGAGAAGGAGAAGGGGAGGGAGGAGGAGAAGGGGAACGAGGGAGGGGGAGGGGAGGGAGGAGGAGGACGGAGGAGGACGGGGAGCAGGCCACACAGCAGCCGCGCCCACACGGCGCATTGGCAGGGAAGATTGCGACAGGTGGCAGCGTGCGAGCACATGCGAAAGTACATGGATACATTACGGAAGAATCGAAAGTGCTGCAGGCGGCCCGGTTGCCGACCATGGAAATGTTTCGTATCCTGTGGGGCGCTATGCGAAGACCTGCAGACAGTGCGGAAAAAGCAGCGGGACGGGAGGAGCAGGGAGGGGGAGGAGGGAGGAGGGGGACAGAAGCGGAGCAATCGGCCAATACTGCACCAGGACTGGACGGCCGAGCGCCAGCTCGCTTCGTCGCCGAGAAGACCCTGGAGAACTGGCCCATGTCGCGCCCACACACTTCCGAAGCTTGTGAACGCACGTACTTCGTCCACTGCAGGCGCGGCCTGCCCCGAACGCTTGCGCTGCACCACTTCCGGGGCGGAATGGAAGAGCTGCCTTCGATTGAAGACAGCGTGCGTCTCGGAAGGCGGTGCGGGCGCTCCCGCGCAAGCATATCATGTAGAAGCAAACGGCGTTGCAACAGCGTTGTAGAAAGGCTACGTATTCTCGCCTTTTGCAGCACGGCCGCGTGGCTGACTCTAGACAAACACGCTGGCAACGGTTTAAATATTTTCCTCAAGCATCGAGCTTGGATGGAATGCATCTAGCTTCGCCCTGCCAGCCTTGCACAACATGCGCGATTCGAGGCCATACAGCAGCAGTTTTGATAAGACAAGATACAAAAACTTGCAGCTTGCGCTGTTTCCTTAATTTTGCATGGCTCCATGCCGTGCGCAATTTCTCAAATGCCCCTTTAGCCTCTCCAAGGCGCCTGGTCAGCTCATTGCGTGGCCCGCCGTCTACACTCGGAAGACCACCAAGGTACACAGCACTCTTCTTGCACGGGATGGCTACGCCGTCTGGCCCAATTCTGGTATCGCCAGAACGAATCCGAAGAAGAAGAAGAAGAAGCGTCTTTCCGGCAGTGAGGTGCAGCCCAAGGGCTCTGCCGACCTTTACGATTACACTCAAATGGTGTTTCAGATACCCCGGGCCCCCTGCGATCAGAATTGTGTCGTCTGCGTGCAGCACGACTTTCGTAATCAGATATGGTTTGGTGTATTTCTCCAGCTGTTTGTCTTCCATCTGCTTGTCATTTTTGTCCAGAGAGTTGGCATTCCAATGATGAACAAGAGTAGTGAGAGCGGGCACCCCTGTGCTGTGCCTGCCGCCCTGGTTCTGCTCGATGTCGTGGAGGCCCCGCTCTTCACCGCGCACGCTCCCACTCCGGAAGTGGCCTCGATCGTGCGCAACATGGGCGGCGGCACGCGGAACGGCCGCAGTGCTCGGAGGAGGCTCTCTGGCCGAGTGCGGTCGCATGCCTTACTCCAATGCAAAACAAGGGTAGGAGAGAGCAGTCCTTGTCCTCCAAAGTGGCATTGATCAAACGCCGTGCCAGAACGAGGGCCCGTATGGTGATTCCCGCAATGCTTTCGCTGCGCCTCCTTCTGGAAATCTTCGCAAAAGGATGATGGCGAGAACCTTCCCACTGATAGAAGTGAGATTGTCCCGTAGTTGCACGGCTGGGACGTGCCGCTTTTCTTGAAAATGGGAGCAGTGGATGCCTCCCTCCAGCTTGCTGGTATATCCGTTTGTCGCCAACACGTGTTGCATGGATCTGTCAGAATATCAATTGCTTGGACGTCTCTCCACAGAGATTGCCACAATTCCGGCGGCACACCATCGTTCCTGGGAGTTCTCTGTACACGAAATTCTTTGATGACAATGTTGGTTTCTTCTCTCGAGATGTCATTCGTACCGAGGGGGAGGGGTGAGGGATCAATGGATAACCGGATCATTCTGGATTTTCCAGGCTGTCAAGCCGCCATCTCGAAAGCTAAGCTGCCCAATGGCACCCATTGGGCGCGGCAAGCTCCCGTTGCAGTGGTCAGTCGCGGCTGCTAAAAAGACTCCATATATTGTGCGCGGTGGTTCTCAAGTAGCAGGCAGCTGAGCCAGCCCATCACTAGTCCCTGGGCACGAAATGCATAGCATGACTTTGCAATGGTCTCGTTCACCAGTGTGGTATGCACATTCCCTTCTTCGGACGCCGACGGTCATCGTCTTGTCACAATTTGTTTGCTTGGGACCATTGCTGAACATTGCGTGCTTTCGTCTTCCACAGCCAACCACCCTTGCCTTAGCGCCGCGCGCATTCCTTTTTAAAAGCCTGCGCCAGCTTCAAGGATGAAGGGGCACTGTTTTCAACATGAGATCCGCGCCTGGGCGCCGCACACATTCGTCTCTAGAGCTCGCAGCAGCTACACGGACGGATGGCAATTCTTTTTCAACGTGGAGCTCGACTAGGAGCGCAAACCTTTGCAACAGTTGCACGGATGGGAGGCGCTCTTTTTTGAAAACGGTTGGGCCCCACATTTCTAGTTCGTTCAAAAGCCCCACGACGCGTGGGATAGGGGTCGGCGTATCCCCTGTCAGAAGAGGAGGAGAAGGAGGAGGAGGAGGAGAAGGAGGAAGAGAGGAGGAAGAGGAGGAGGAGATCTCGTTGGACACCTAACCTCGTTGAACCGGATGCCTGAGTGCGCGCTAGATGGATACCAGACAGCTCCTTTTCAAACCGGGGCCCTCGCCCGAACGGCAGGCCCACAGCGTGCTGGCAGTTCGAGGGGGGGGGGGCGCGTTTTTCGTAGTGCAGCGGCATGCTTGCAGGGACTTGTGAGGAGAGGACTTTGGATGGGCGGGTTGATGTATTTTGCGCTTACTCCCGTCCTCCTTGTCCTCCTCCTCCTCCTCCTCCTTCTCCAGTCGCTGTCGCTGTAGGCTTCGGTACTCGTATGAACGCAACCATCCCTCCTCCTCCTCCTCCTCCTCCTCTCTCCTCCTCCCCTCCTCCCATCCTCCTCCTCCCTCCCCCGCCCCCCCCCCCTCCCTCCCTCCCTCCTTCCCTCCCTCCCTCCTCCCCTTCCCCTTTCGGCGGGAGGACTACTCTCCCTTCTCCCTTCCTCCCTCCCTCCTCCTCCCTCCCTTCCTCCCTCCCTCCCTCCTCATTCCTCTCTCTCTCTCTTCCTCCCTCTCTCCCGCTGTCCCTTCCTCCCTCCCTCCTCCCTCCCCCGTTCGGCGGGAGGACTACTCTCTCGGCCAGCGGACGGCAGCTCCTTGCTGGAAGCCTCTGCGCGCCAGGCGCGCCCCTCGCGCGCCGCGGCGAGCCGCCAGTCGGGGAGGAGGAGGAGGAGGAGGAGGAGGAGGAGGAGGAGGAGGAGGAGGAGGCGGAGGAGGAGGAGGAGGAGGAGAGGAGGGAGGAGGAGGAGGAGGAGGAGGAGGAGGAGAGGGAAGAGGAGGAGGAGGAGGGGGAGGAGGGGGAGGAGGAGGAGGAGGAGGAGGAGGAGGAGGAGGAGGAGGAGGAGGAGGAGGAGGGAGGAGGAGGGGGAGGAGGAGGAGGAGGAGGAGGAGGAGGAGGAGGAGGAGGAGGAGGAGGAGGAGGAGGCGGAGGAGGGTGAGGAGGAGGAGGAGGAGGAGGAGGAGGAGGAGGAGGGGGAGGAGAGGAGGAGAGAGGATGAAGAGGAGGGAGGAGGAGGAGGAGGAGGAGGAAGAGGAGGAGGAGGAGGAGGAGGGGAGGAGGAAGAGGAGGGGAGGAGAGGAGGAGGAGGAGGAGGAGGAGGAGGAGGAGGAGGAGGGGAGGAGGAGAGGGGAGGAGGAGGAGGAGGAGGAGGAGGAGGAGGAGGAGGAGGAGAAGGAGGAGGAGGATTCATCAACGATGTTGGAATACGCCCTCCCTCCAAGCTCCCTCTTCGTGCCGCTGTTGGCGAACAAACAACGCCTCTCCACAGATGTCGCGCCAACGGTGCCGCCCCTGGATTACCCGTTTCAATGTTGCGTTCGCGGCCGTTCTCGGGGTGCAAGCATCGGCATCAAAAATGCCCAAATTCCACCGCCACGGCAGCCTCGTTTTCAAGGTTGAAATTTGGGGGGCACAGGGGGGTTCTGAACACATCAGCGTTGTCCATTATGCTTGGTGGGCGTTTTTTACGCCAACGGCGGTAGGCCCCATACAGGGGTTCATTGGGGGACAACCCCGCGAAAATCCTAAAGCGGGCCCACAAACATCGAGACTCCAATGCCACGGTTTCACTTGATTCTTACGTGTTAGCGATCCTGAACACCATGTCCTCCGATTCAACACCGCGAATCAAAGTAACTGTTGCGCGTGGACAATCTTGAATCGCTTCACAATCATATGTACGTTAGCCATGAGAACCGAACCAGTGGAACTCTTGCATGTTTGTAAAACGAGTGTACGCGGCGCTGAGGTGCGAGCCGCAGTTTGAAAAGGAACAGCCCTCACTTCGCGAATCTCTGGCAATTGCTCGAGACGATGCGCGTGGCGCTAAGGCGAGAGTCACATTGCGAAAGGGAGCCGCTCTCAATCCGTGAAGCTGCTTGCAACTATTTGAAATGAGTGTGCGCGGCGCAAAGGCGAGAGCCACATTTTGAAAACGGAAGGCGAGCGCCACGTTTGGGAGGCGACCCGCCCTCCATTTGTGAAGCGGTTGTTGATGATCATACATGGTGAAGAAATCTCGGGCGAAGCGCCGGGCCCGCCCTTCCGACCGGCCTCGGTATGCGACAGGGGGGAGTTATTGCTAAAGAAAAGAAATGGAGGAGGGGGTGGAGGAGGAGGAGGAGGAGCAGGAGGAGGAGGAGGAGGATCGGAGGAGGAGGAGGAGGAGGGGGACCAGAGTAAACGCAAGACTCGTCAACGATGTTGGAACAAACCCTCCCTCCAAGCTCCCTCTTCACAGGCCCCTACAAGGGTTCATTGCCACTGAGGGAAGTGCCCTGCTGGGAGGCAACCGTTTGAAGATCCTGAAGCGTGCAAGCACAATTCTCGGGGCTCCAACACAACGAATCAACCTGAATGTTGCGTATTGAAGATCCTGAATTGTGCCAGCATGCCATTCCTGGGACTTCACCACAACGAATCGACGTAAGTGTTGCGTCCTGATAATCCTGAGTCATTTCCCACCGCAATTTCTGGTACGTTGGCTGTGCGAGTCCATGCAACTCTTGCGAATGTCTGAGACAAGTGAACGCGGCGCTAAGGCGAGAGCCACACTGCGAAAAGGAACCGCTCTCAGTCCGTGAAGCTCTTTGCGTGTGTTTGAAACGAGTGTGCGCGGCGCTCAGGCGGGAACAGTACGTTGAAAACGGCCCGCCCTCAATGCGTGGAACTCGTGCACATGTTGAAGACGAACGTGCGCGGCGCTCGGGCGAGAACCACATTTTGGAAGTGGCCCGCCCTCCATTTGTGAATCGGTTGCCAATCTCCATGCTTCAGGATTGTCAATGGTGAGGAAGTCTCAGGCGAAACGCCCTGCCCGCCCTTCCGACTGGCCTCGGGGTGCGACAGGGAGAAGTTATAGAAAAAAATGTGGAGGAGGAGGAGGAGGTGGAGGAGGAGGAGGAGGAGGGAAGGGGAGAAAGGAGGAGAGGGGAGGGAAAAGGAGGAGGAGGAGGAGGAGGAGCAGGATTGGGCGGGGGGCTGCATCAGTACGGCCCTCTCGCCGTCAGTTCCCAGTTCCCTGGAGGAGGAGGGGGCATGGGGGAGGGGGAGGGAAGGGGGGAGGGAGGGATGAGATCAGAGGGGGGGAGGGGGGGGAAAAGGGAGGGAGGAGAGGAGGAGATATGAAGCAGATGCGGCATGACGATGCTGGCCGTGGTGAAAAGATGATGGTGATGGTGGTGGTGGTGGTGGTGGTTGGGGTGGTGGTCGGGTCTGGGGGGGGGTCCGGAAAAGAGGGGGCGGATGAGGAGGGGAGGATGGAGCAGAATGTGAATTGGAGGAGATGAGGGAGGGGGCCGAGAGGGAGAAATGAGGTATGAAGACGATGATTGTGATGATGATGATGATGATGTTGATGATGATGATGATGGTGGTGGTGATGATGATGATGATAGTGCTGATGATGATGGGATGGTGATGGTGATGGTGATGGTGATGGTGATGGTGATGATGATGATGATGATGATGATGATGATGATGATGATGATAGTGCTGATGATGATGATGGTGGTGATGATGATGATGGTGATGATGATGATGATGATGATGATGATGATGATGATGATGATGATGATAGTGATGCTGATGATGATGACGATGGTACTGATGCTGATGACGGTGACGGTGGTGATGATGATGATGATGATGATGATGATGATGATGATGATGATGATGATGATGATGACGGTGATGGTGATGATGATGACGGTGATCGTGATGGTGTTGGTGATGATGTTGATGGTGATGGTGATGGTGATGGTGTTGGTGATGATGATGGTAGCGATGGGAGTCATGCCATTTGATCCCAAGTCGCGGCATTCGGAGCGGACAGGCGATTGGCATTGCGATTGTGGAGCCGACAGGGCGCCTGCGCCGCAGGCATCCCGGACCAGGGAGCGCGCACGGTGTTTGCGCAGGCCTCGACTGAGACGACAGGGAGGTAGGCAGACAGATCAGAGGAGGACGAGAAGGAGGAGGTGGAGGAGGGACTCCCCGCCTGTCTGATTTCTAGTCTGGCGCGTGTTTGACCAGAAGTTCGAGGCGGACCAAGGACCAAGATGTGGCGATGTGACCGCCCCACCCCCCCCCCATCTCATCCCACCCCGCAGCGCGCAGGAGAGGAGCAATGGCGGCCACGAGGCGGCCACGGGCGGCAACGTGGCGAAACCTCGTCAGACCCGCTCAGCGCACGAGGCGGCCACGGGCGGCAACGCGGACAATGCTCGCAGGTCCCCTCCACTGCCTCAGTGGCAGAAGCAAGATCCCCGAAGTGCAAGCACTCGTCTGTGGAACAATGGCGGTCAGGTGTCCCGGTCCGTAGCCGTTTCGCTGCAAGCAATTTTGGTGGAAGCCGTCTCGGCATCTGCTTCGTTGGCTGGGCGCAAGCCCCGAAGGCTGCTTACAGTCGGGGCGCTGAAGAAGGAGCCCTTTTTGTTGCGGAGGGGCTCGGTGTTCTTTGATTGTTTTACATATTGCCTTATGTATTCCTGAGGTTTTCCACGGGGAATCGAAGTGTACCTTATGGGGCAAAAGGGCCTCGTCCCTTATTTGGGGTCCCTGAGGTCAACGCCCCGACTGTACCCTGAGCTCTTGGTTGCAGAGCATGGCTGATGCCGCTGAGGAGCGCCTCCCTCTACCATACGGGCAGCATGCGATTGTGACCGAGTACGGGGCTGACCAATTAGATGCAATTGTCGGAGGCCTGGAAATGGGCACCAACACCAACACGGGTTTGCATCCGCAGGGGGAAGATGATCCTAGATTTCGGTGCTGGTGGATATATTTCGGCCACCTTGGAAACCGAAATCGGGATCTGCTTCCCTCGGTGGAAGCACACTGCCGATATTGGTCTTGGTGTAAACCTCTAGGCCTGTGAAATTGAGCGCTGCCTGGAGATTGTGCCGCAACCGCCACCCATGCTTTCTGAGTTGAAGGATGAAGACGTCGTCATCGCAGTGGAGGCATCAGAGGTGTTTTGGACAGACACTGTCATGATGACTGGTCAATACCAACACCAGCCGCGATTGCCATTCACACCGGGCACTGCTTCTGGCCGCGTTGTTTGGGCTGGCACAGCTGCAGCGGCAAAGGGTATTCAAATCGGCATGCGGGTCATTGCCCAGAACATTGGCGCACGGAGTAGTGGTCCCTACCAAAAATGGGGCGGTTGTGCGAGCTATGCGGTTTGTCCTGCAACGTCATTGCAGGAAATACCGCCGCACTGGTCATTCGAGCAGGCCGCTTGTTTCGGCTATGGTTACGGCACTGTTCACTACTGCCTCGTGGAGGTAGCAGCCTTGCAACTAGGGCAGACCATTTTGGTTCAAGGGGCAACGGGGGGCGTCGGAATTCCCGCTGTGCAAATGGCGAAACTTCTCGGCGCTGTGGTTATTGCAGCAACGAGGTCAGCAGATAAGGTTGATTATCTGAAGAGCGTAGGTGCCGATCACGTCATTCTTGTTGCTGATGATGTTGGGACGCCGCGCCGTTTCAGCGGTGATGTGAAGAAATTGGCAGGTGGCAAGGGCGTCGACGTTGTTTACGATGGGGTCGGCGGTGATGCTATCTCAGTGGAGTCAATGCGTGCGTGCAAGTTTGGGGCAAAGTACTTGATAGTTGGCTGGGCAGCTACGCCAAACGTTGCAGCAGGCGGAGGCGGTGGACGTGGCCAAGGTGCACCGAGTCCCAATCGCATTCCCACAAATCTGATTATGATGAAAGGATTGCATGTGATCGGATGCCCCGCCGTAATCTCTTTGACAGCACAAGGGCCTGAAAAGGGCGCCGCCATCATGCAGCGCCGCCAGAAGGACATCAAAGAGTGGGTCTTCTCTGGCAGACTGCCGCCTCCAACGGTCGGCAAGGTGTTCCCGCTCAGCGCTGTGAAATCAGCTCTGCGCACTCGTGTGGCTTCAGGCAGCGTGCTGGGGTCTACTGTGGTATGCCCGCCTCGTCTTCAGGACGTGCCGGCCGCGAAGCTCTGAGAGTGAAATCAGCTCTGCGCACTCGTGTGGCTTCAGGCAGCGTGCTGGGGTCCACTGTGGTCTGCCCTCCTCGTCCTCAAGACGTGCCGGCTGCGAAGCTCTGAGAGCCGAAGGCTTGGGAAGCAGAGGCGCAGAGCGCCGAAGGCCGACGCGCGCAGAGGGAGTCGACTTCTCATCCTTTTCTTCCTCTTCCTCCTCCTCCTCCTCCTCCTCCTCCTCCTCCTCCTCCTCCTCCTCCCCCTCCTCCCCCACCTCCTCCTCCTCCTCCTCCTCCTCCTCCTCCTCCTCCTCCTCCTCCTTCAAAGGACGGTCGACTTCTCTCGGTCAGGGCTCCAGTCTGGGCTTCTTTGCGTTGTCGGGCCCTCGTCTCACCTCCTCCCCAGACCTCTGGGGTCCCGAACACAAGCGGGACGGTCGGTCTTCCCAGTCAGGGCCTTTGGCCCCAGGCTAGAGGAGTGTCGAGCAGCAAACGCCGTAGTTCCACGCATAAAAGTGCGTGCACGGAGGGAGGGTGTCGACCATACGTCTGACACGCGTGTAGTTGGCGCGTGCCTTCACATGTGAAGACGCCATGGCGCCAAGGGGGCCATCCAACATGCGGCCTGGGGATTCTTCACATTGAAATTCCGCGGGCGCGCAGGGGGGAGCTGTATCCAATATGCGTTCGGCACTTGCGTGTGCCATGAGTGTTTCACGTTTGTAGTCCCCGACGGCGGGTATCCAACATGTGGGCGGCGGATTCTTGACACGAGAAAGCACGTGCGCTGACGGGGGTCTCCAGCATGCGTCGGGCTTCATAATCATATTTCCCCACTCGCCCCCCCCGAGGTACCCTACCTGCGTCTGTCGCATTCTTCTCACGTAGCAGTTCGCACCCGAGCGGGGTATCCAATATGCGTTCGGTACGCATGCGTTTGAGACGTGTTTCACGTGTGCAGGGCCCAAGGGAAGGTATCCAACATGCGGCCAGCGGATTCCTCAGTCGCGCAATTCGATGTGTGGAGGGAGGGTATCCAGCATACTTTCATTCGATGCGCTAGGGAGGATATCCAACTTGCGTTCGGCACACTTGAATTTGACACACTACTCCAACGTGCGGCCAGCGGAACCTCACGCGCAAACGCACTTGCGCGGAGCAGGGTATTGAGTACGCGGACGGCGCGTGAATGTTTGGCACGTGTGCGCAGGTGCCCAAGTCGTCAGGGAGATATCCGGCATGCGGCCAGAGAATTGCTTGCACGTGAGATCCGCGCGCGCGCGTCCCCAGTTTGGGGATGCAGCACGCGTCTGGCACCCGTGCGTAGGGCGCGGGTCTACGCTGAGATCGGACGTGCCCTCCTACAACCCCCTGGAATAAAAAGTCTGGACCGCAGAGGTCGGGGAATAAGCCTTGTTTTTCGGCTCCCTTTAGGCCACGGGGCCCCGGTACAATGTTGCAGGGGCCGCCATGGTTAAATTTCTGGTCCATCCTCACCCCCTCTAATAGTATAATCGCCAAATGGGGTGACGACCAGAAATCCGCATTCCGCCTAATACTTCCTCCAAAAAAATTGCCGGACGCTTTTCAGGCGACCGGAAGTTCTCAGTGGCGACCAGAAATTGGCGATTTCGCTTGGGACTTCCGCGCAAATAAATGTCCGGTCCCAGTTATGTTGCTCGGAAGTTGCGATTCTGCTTGGTACTTCTTGCCAGTTATGTTTACCTTTCGGGGAGCGACGATGCAAGGGGGCCTGCAGTGCCGACCTGGACTTTTTAATCCAGGGGGTGGTACAGGGTGTTTTTGACAACAATAGACAATCAAACAATATCCCAAATGATTAAAAAGTCGTCCCCTGACTATTTTGGGATTGTTTTTGAATATTCCTCCTGTAGAGAGACGTGCCCGACTAAGTCTACGCCTGTGTGGGCCCCCCCTAGGGAGGTATCCGACACGCTGCCGGCCGATTTTCAAGAGAAGACTACGCGCGCGAGGAGAGGGTATCGGACATGCATTTGGCACACGTGTCTTTGTTTCCACACGGAACGAGCAGTGTGCAGGAGGGGGCGAGGGGGAAGAACAGGAGCGAGAAGGGATGAGGGAGCAGGAGAGGAGCAGGAGGCAGAGGGATGAAGGTCGAGGACGAGGAAGAGGGGGATGGCTACAGGAGGCTGTTGGAGGACAAAGAGGAGAGGGGAGGTGAAGACGATTGAGGAGAACGATCAGGAGGATGCGGAGGAGGAGGAGGAGGAGGAGGAGGAGGAGGAGGAGGAGGAGGACGAGAGCGAGGAGTGGGAGAAACGTATCACCACAGAAGTATTGGCACTAAGGCCATAGGACGGCATGCCATAGCACAGAGGAGCGGGACGCACCACTCCAAGACAGCCCAACATATAAAGTCGGCAATGCACGAGCATGGAAACCGTGCCAACAGAGAAGTTGACTCACATTCCCTTGATCTATCCTCCTCCCCCTCCTCCTCCACCCTCCTCCTCCTCCTCCTCCTCCTCCTCTCCCTCCTTCTCCTCAACCTCAAAACCTCAACCTCCTCCTCCTCCTCCTCCTCCTCCTCCTCCTCCTCCCTCCTCCTCTCCTCCTCCTCCCTCCGCCTCCTCCTCCTCCTTCCTCCTCCTCTCCTATTCACCCTCCTCCTATTCCTCTTCCTCTTCGTTCATACTTCTGTTCTGCTAGTCTTTATTATCCTCCTCCTCCTCCTCCTCCTCCTCCTCCTCCTCCTCCTCCTCACTCCGTAGCCATTTGGGCTCAAGAGAATCAGACGTATGCTCCCTCCCATCCCGCTGCCCCGCCCCTCCCCCCCTGTGCGACGTCCAGCCAGTCGTCGGCGGCTCGCGCCTTCGTGGGCCTGGCGGGGCCTCCCTGCGCGGACCGCTGGGGCGCGGCGGGGCGCTGCGCGGGCTACGAGCTGCGCGGGCTGTGCCACGATGGGGTCGCCGTGGCTGGGCTCGAGGCCAACGCCACCGAGGGCTGCTGCGCCTGCGGCCGCGGCGGGCTCCGGGAGGGCTGCCCCGGCGCGGCCTCCGAGGCACGGACCCTCTGGGCGGCGTGCCTGCCGCAGGGTGCGCAGCCGCTCGCCAGGCACGCCCGCCTGCCCCATGGGCGTGCTGCAGCCGCCGGCGCGCTGCGGCTCCGACGTGCCTCCGTTCGCGGCGACGGCGGCTGCTGGCGCCAGGCCCCCGGACCTCTGCTTTGACCGCCCCTGGTGGCGGCCGTGCGCCGCCCGGTGCTCCCTGGGGCTCCGCGCGCCGCCTCTGCGAGGCGCGCGGCTTCCGGCGCGGGAGGCCTTCCGCGCGGCGGAGGCGCTGCTCGCGGATAGCACCTCGGGCGCCCGGCCGGCGGCGCCGGCGGCGCCTCCGCTGCGCGCGCCGCGGCGGCGCGGGGCGCCGACGGGGCGCTGCAGGACGGCCTGGTGGAGGGGCTGCTGCCGGCGAGGCACGCGGCCGACGTTGCCATCGCCGGCATGCTCGGCCGCTGCTTCGGCGGCCCGGGGCCGGGCGCCCTGGCCACAGCCAGGGTCGTGGCGGACGGCTCCGCGCACGTGCCAAGTCGGTGTTGGGGGGGTGCTGCGCGTCCTGCTCGAGAACGTGGGCTGCGCCTCGCGTCGCTGCGACGCCGTCGAGGTCGGCGTCTTCACCGGGCAGACGTCGCGGCACCTGCTCGAGGGCCTCCCTCTGCTCCGCCTCCACTGCGTCGGCCCGTACGCCGCGGAGGACGAGCACCCCGAGGCAAACGGCGATGTACATAAAGGTTGCCAGCCTGCATGTATGCCAGCTTCGGCTCTCGGGCAACTCTGCGAAGGAACTTGTCGCAGAGTGCGGCTAGCTACATCGGTGGCCCACTTGACATGGTGTTCTTGGACGGCTCTCACTGCTCGGAGGCTGTCTGGGGGGACCTCTTGTCATGGGCGCCGTACACGCGGCGGATTGCTGGACACGACATGAACATGGCTTCGTGGGGCGTGGCGCACGCCGTGATCCGCTGGTCGGCTGGTCGCGCAGTTCACCTCTCGGCAGACGGCGTCTGGTACGTGGACGTGTGACGGCGGCGGCAGTGCTGGAGGATGAATCTGGCCGGCGGCAAAACAGTACCACCTTTTTGTTTGATATTGTAGTGAATTTGTTCGTGTGCAGCCTTGCCAGAGGCATTCGACATTCGCGCTTTTGATGTGTGAAGTTTGCCCCATGAGTTTTGGTAGATGGATCGGTTTTTAGGTGGTCTCGCTGGTGGTCAGAATCGTCGTCGCCAGAAGCTCGGCGACACCTGTGAAGCGGGCGCGCCCAGTGCGAAGCTCAGATTTGCGCAGTAGACCTCCTCCTCCTCCTCCTCCTCCTCCTCCTCCTCCTCCTCCTCCTCCTCCTCCGTTCCCTTCTCCTCCCCCTCCTCCCCCTCCTCCCCCTTCTCATTATCCTCCTCCTCCTCCTTCCCCTTATCATTTTCCTTCTTACTCCTCATCCTTATGTTTATTATCCTACACTTTGCTCTGCTCCTCCTCGTCCTCCTCTTGCTCCTCCATATCATCCTCCTCTTCTTCTCCCATCCTCCTCGTCGCCGTCCTGCTGCTCCTCCTGATAAGGGAGTCCTCCTCAAGGAGGGTGGAGTGACCGTGCGCCGATCCGCTGCCCCTCTCCCGGAGGACCTGAGCCCCTTCGGCCATGATGGTGCGGCCAGCATCCAGGAGGCCGCATCGTCCTTGTCGCCGCCGCCGCCGCCGCTACCGCCGCCGCCGCCGTCGTCATCGTCGCCGTCGTCCTTCTCTTCGTCCTCGTCCTCGTGGTCGTCCTTGTTGTCGTCTTCGTCGTCGTCCTCGTCCTGGTTCTCCTCGTCCTCGCCCTCCCCCCCGTCGATCAAGGCCGAGACGCCGAGACTGGGCCCCTCTTTTCTGGCCACCGTCGAGCTCGCGAGCGCCCGCCAGTTGGCCTCTCTCCGGCGACAGCCAGGAAGACTGTGCGTTCTGTCTTCGCCGTGCGCCCCGCGCGGCCGCGCGGGCCGACACCTGAGGAGGACCGGGAGGGAGGGAGGGGTTATTCCAGCCGTTTCGCGTAACTCCACCAGCTCCGTAGCCACTGGCTCAAGCCCCCTCTCTGGCTCAAGCACGCCCCCGGCCAGGTGCGGGCTCGCCCGACGCCGATGGAGCCCGCCGCGGCGCGTCGCCGGCGGCAGCGGGCGGCCGCCTGGGCGGCTCGCGTCGCGGTCGCCGCCCGCGCCGGCGCCGCCGGCGCTGGCGCCGCCGCGCCGCTGGCGCCGCCGGCGCTCCACGCGCTGCGGCCGTCGCGGGCGCGCGGGCGCCGCTGGCGCCCCGCGCGGGCCTCCAGTGCCGCCGGCGCCGCAGCGCCTCTTGGCCTCCGCGGCCTCCGCCGCCGCCGAGGCCGTCTCGGCGGCCGGCCGCGGCTGCCCCGCCGCTGGCGCTGCCGGCCGGCGCCGCTTGGGGCCTGCCCCGCCGCCGCGGTGGCGCGCGCAGCGGCGTTGTCGCCTGCCGCCGCCGCCGCGCCTGGCGCGGGGGCTGCCGCCGCGGGCCGCCGTGGTGGGCCACCGCGGCCAGTCTGACGGCCAGTCCGTCGGCCAGCGCCGCGGCCAGCCCAACTGCCAGCCTCACGGCCCCCCACGGCCAGCCCCACGGCCAGCTCGACGCGGCGGAGGCGGCGGCCGGCGGCGCCGTGGCCGGCGCCGCGGCCGCTGTCGCGGCTGCCGCTGCTGCTGCCGCTGCCGCTGCCGCTGCCGGTTCCTCGCCGGCGGCGGCGGCGGCGGAGGGCGCGGTGGCGGGCGCCGCCGCGGCGGAGCGCGGCCACCGCGGCCAGTCCGGCGGCCTGCCCCCAGGCCAGCCCGACTGCCAGCCCCACGGCCTGCCCAACGGCCAGCTCCACGGCACGCCTGACGGCCAGCCCGTCGGCCGGCCCCGTGGCCAGCCCGACGGCCACGGCCCGCCCCACGGCCAGCCCTACGGCCAGCCCTACTGCCAGCCCCACGGCCGGCCCCACGGCCAACCCGATTACCAGCCCCACCGCGGCCAGCCCGACGGCCAGCCCGACCGCCAGCCCCGCGGCCAGCCAGACTGCCGGCGCCCCACGGCCAGTCCGACGGCCAGCCCCACGGCCAGCCCCACGGCCAGCCTGGCTTGCGCAGCTTTCCAACAAAGCTGCCCGGCGGCATGACCGCGACGCAGACCCAGCGCACCGACGGGTGGGCTGGCGCCCCGCCCACGCAGGGCGTTTCCCCTGAGACTGACTTTTCTCCTCCTTCCCTGCCCATGATTCCTCGAGATGCGACGGTTAGTCGCCTATACGCCGGGAAGATTGCGAAATGGGTCGCCTCCACCCGGAAGAGCGCGAATATAGTCGCGAATCGCAGGAGGAGGAGCAGGAAGAAGTCAGGGAGGACCTTGCCGACCGTCCAACACAACCCACTGGCAACGCGACCCCTTGTTCCACCCAGCCGCTTCGGATTCCAACGGGCTCCGCAACGGTCAGTCGCCGCCACCCAGAAGAATGCGATGATAGTCGCGAGTCGCAGGGCGAGGGGCTTGGCTCAGACAGAGAGGACTGCGCCTACCGTCCAGCACAACCCGCTGGCAACACGACCCCTGGGAACACCCAGTGGCTTCGGATTCCAACAGACTCTGCGATGGTCGTTCATCTACACCGGGAGGATTTCGAAATGGGTCGCGAGCTACAGGAGAAGGGGCAGGAGGAAGATAGAGAGGACCCTGCCGACCGTCCAACACAACCCAGTGACAACACGACCTCGGTCTGGGAACACCCAGCCCCCTCGGATTCCAATAGCTTCTGCGACGGTCAGTCGCCTCCTCCGGGAAGAGTGCGAAGATTGTCGCGACTCGCAGTGTGAGGGGCAGGGAGAAGACAGAAAGACCCTTGCTGACCGTCCATTGCAGCCCGCTGGCAACACGACCCCTGGGAACACCCAGCCGCCTCGGATTCCAAGGGGTTCTGCGATGGTTAGTCACCTACGCCGGGAAGAGCGCGAAAGGGGTCGTGATCCGCAGGAGAAGGGGCAGGGAGAAGACAGAGAAGACCTTGCCGACCGTCCAACGCAACCCGCTGGCGACACGAACCCTGTGAACACCCAGCCGCGTCGGATTCCAACAGACTCTGCGACGGTCAGTCGCCTCCACCGGGAAGAGTGCGAAGATAGTCGCGAGTCGCAGGAGGAAGGGGAGCCCACCGCTGGGGAGGAGACCATCGAGGAGACCATCGAGCAGCCTTCTCCTGACGAGCGGGACAACGAAGCCATCCTACAGCTGGTTTCGAGGGGCCCTGTCGCCCCTATTCGACCTCCCTTCCCTGCCAGCGACTCGATACGGGCGGGCGCCTCTACAGGCAGCCACGGGGCAACCCCTGCATCCCTGCAAAGCGCGCCAGACCCCCCCCGTTCGGGTGGGGGCGTGAGTTCGACTGCCGACACGGGCCGGCAGCCCAACCGGGGGGCGTCCTTGACGCGTCGGACGGGAAGCGGGTGGACGCCCAGGCCGTTCGCCGATCGCCAGCATCCAGGACCACGGGAATCCCACACCGGAAAGCCGCTCTATAGAGCCTGGGCCCACGACTCCCAGTGGGAACCCCGCGGAGTGTCACCGAACGAGACGATCAGGTACCTTCAGGTCACTTTGGGTGCGTCGTTCACAGCCGTCTGGCACGCCTTTTGCCGCGCAGCGCGCTGCTCCCGGCACCGTGCGCGCCTTCGACCAGCGTCGGCGCGACCGGCGAACCTGCGCCGCCTTCGTGACCTCATTTCGCAGCCACAGCTGCGATGTTCGGGCCATGAGCGACTCATTGTGCCTGGGCATCGACTGTGCGCAGGTGCGTGGACAACACCTGGGACATCACGTCGGCGCGAACGGGTTCGCCAGGCACCCCCGCGAGATGGTCGGGATCTCGTGGGCGCCGACACTGGCCGCGCGCAGTAGAGAGGGAGTGCTCTGGGCACGGCTGGGAGGAGGAGCCGAGCAACCGAGAGCCCATTGACCGAGAAACGGTTCGACAGTAACACCGAGTGTGGGGCACCACCCAGTTTCGCTGAGATGCGGTTTTGACAACGCACTGGGCATGTGGATTGGCAGCCCACCGTGATTGTCCCTGTCAGCATCAACTGCTCGAGTATAATTCCCCCCCCTCCTCTCACACTGTGTGCCTGGCGTGCACTTCCTTCCCTCCCTTCCTGCATCCTAATGTTGCAGCTGTTAGCTGCCGCGCCGGGGTGCCTTCCATGCCTGGCGTGCACTTCCCCTCCTCTCATCCTGCTTCCTTGTAGCTCGTTCCGCGTGTCCCTTCACCCCTTCCTGCATCATAATGCTGCAGCGGTTAGCTGCCGCACCGGGGTGCCTACCGTGCCTGGCGTGCACATTCCCTCCTCTTCTTTTGTTTCACCGGGTTTATCCCGCGCGGCTGGGACGGCCGCCAATGCTGCTGTCTGGTGGTGTTTTGACAGCCAGAATTCCATGCATGGATCACACTGGGAATTGGCGGTCAGGTGGCCCCTGGCGCACGCTGCCGACCCCCACGGTGCTTGGACTTCGGCATGTGTGGTTCGGTGCGCCCGTCGACCGCTTTCTCCTGCAAGGACTTCGCTTTCGACATGTGCCACCGCTGTACAAACGAGAGGTATTGCCGTTTGCAGTCCTATCTGTTACGAGGTTGCCCCTCTTCACTCTTGCGCTGACACGATGCAGTTGCGTCGCCTACTGCACGGACGTCGTCCGGGTGTGCCGGTCGGTCTTGCTCGTCTGTGACGGCGCCTTGAGTGATTGACCTGTGCGTGTTTTTGGTCGCGCCGCCGCGCCATTTTGGCTGCGCTTACTTGCTCGTCGCCACCGGGATCTCCACGCCACCGGGTTGGGAGTTTCGTTCCTGGCTCTTCTTCTGAGTGGCTGCCCGCGCGCTCGATTCGCTTGCCTCTCTTTTCTTGCTGCCTAGTCGCGGCCCGACTAGTGTTTGGACGGCTTTCGACTTGCTTCGCGAGCCCGCAGACAAACAAACAAAAACTCCACCAGCCCAGCCAGAAACGAAAACCTTGCGATTTGCCTTGATCAGGGATGTTGAGGAGCATGCAGTGAGATAAAGGGGGTGGGGAAGCCGTCATACCCCGAGAGGGTGAGCATGGAAGAGGAATCGGAGGAGGAGGAGGAGGAGGAGGAGGAGGAGGATCAGGAGGAGGAGGAGGAGGAGGAGGAGGAGGAGGACGAGGAGGAGGAGGAGGAGGAGGACGGGGAGGGGGAGGGGAGGAGAGAGGAGGGAGGAGGACGAATAGGCCGATGAGGGATTGGAGGAAAAGGGGGAGGAGGAGAAAAAGCAAAAAAAACAAATGCCTTTTGCATGCCTCTCGGAGTCTCTTCGGATGACTCATGGGAGTTTTTTGGAGTCCTCCTTGGGCGTTTTGGGGGCCTCTTGGCGGTCCTGGGAGCCTCTTGCACCGTCTTGGATCCCTCGGGGGAGCTTTTTTTTTCGGTGAGTTTTCGGGAGCCTCCTTAGGGCCTCTTCGGGGCTCCTGGGCGGCTCTCGGGGCCCTACTGGGGCACTCTTGGAAACCTCGGGGGCCATCTTGGGCCATCTTGGGGGGGTTCGATTAAAGAAATGTGGGTCCTTAATACATAGCCTCGCGCCCCCCCCCGCAGGCCAAAATCGGGCCCAAACCTGAGGAACATCAGTTATTTGCATTCTCGCCGAGGCC